ATAAAATAAAATAAAATAAAATAAAATAAAATAAAATAAAATAAAATAAAATAAAATAAAATAAAATAAAATAAAATAAAGTAAAATAAAATAAATCTGGAAAAATCCAGGAATCCCATCAAAACCCAAGAATTACAGAAAAAATCCAGAAATCCCAAAAAACCCCCTGGAATTATGAAAAAATCCGGGAATTCCTTGCAGAATCCGTTAGAGGCAGCGAGGGAGAGGCGTTAGTGGAGCCCAAGGAGGGAATTCCCGACCGGAAAATTCCATGGAAATCCCCGGGAATGCCCCAGTCCAAGTGGGAAGATTCCATGGAATCACAGAATTCCAGAATGATGGGATTAAAGAATCCTGGAATTCCAGGATCATGGAATTAATGGGATTTCTGGAATTCTGGTATTAGTGGACGGCAAAATTCCAGAATTCTGGAATTCCAATATAATTGAATTATGGAACTGTGGAATTCCGGGATCAGGGAATTCTGGAATTTCTGGAATTCTGGTATTAGTGGACGGCAAAATTCCAGAATGGGACTGTGGAATTCCAGGATCAGGGAATTCTGGAATTCCGGGATCTCGGCATTTCTGAAACCGTGGAATTCCAGATTCACGGAATTCCGGCATTGTGGATTTGTGGAATTCTTGGATGACAGAATTCCGGGATTTTGGGACCGTGGAATTCCGGGATCATCTGGGCTGGCAGATCCAGGCCCGCCTTTCCCATCCCTTTTTCCCAGGAATTTTCCCGGGAATTCCGTTGATTTTTTCGGGAAGCGCTTCCAGCCCGCAATGAGAGGAAAAAGCGGAAAGAGGAAAAATTCCAAGGCCAATCCCAAAATTCCCTACCTTGGTCCCTACTTTTATTCCCAGAACCTGAACGGGCGGAAAAAAACCAAAATTCCCATCAGGAAAATCCCAAATTCCTCTGGGAAGGAACAAAATTCCAGCGGGAAAAGCGAAATCCCAATGGAAAAAACGAAATTCCAGCGGGGGGGAAAAAAACCTAAATCCCATCGGGAAAAAAAAATGGAATTTCACCAGGAAAAAACAAAATCCCATTGGAAAAACCCAAAATCCCATCGGGAAAAAAAAAACAAATGCCAGCAGGAAAACCGAAATTTCATCGGGAAAATGCCCAAATCCAAGCAGGAAAAAAAATGGGAAATTTCACTGGAAAACCCGAAATCCCAGCAGGAAAAAAATGAAATTCCAGTGGGAAAAACACAAATTCCCCCCAAATCCCCCAGAATTCCTGGAAAGTTCCTGGAAATAGCCTGGGAAATTCCCCAAAAATTCCTGGGAAAATCTGGGAAAATTCTCATAAAATTCAAAGAAAATTCCCTGGATATTCCCGGAAAATTCCTGAAAAATTAAAAAAAAAAAAAAAACAGAAAACTCCTGCTAAGTTTCCAGAAAATTCCTAGAAAATTAATGGAAAATTCTCAAAAAATTCCTGGAAAGTTCTTGGAAAATTGTGGAAAATTCATGAAAAATTCCTGGAATATTCCCCAAAAACTCCCAAAAAATTCCCAGAAAATTTCTGTTAAATTCCTGTAAAATTCCAAAAAAATTCCCACAAAATTCCCATAAAATTCTCCAAAAATTGCTGTAAAATTCCTGCGAGATTCCCATAAAATTCCCCAAAAACTCCTGAAAAATTACCATAAAATTCCTGTAGAAGTCCTGTCCTGTAAAATTTCCGTACAGTTCTTAAAAATTTCCTGTAAAATTCCCGTAACATTCCCCAAAAATTCCTGTAAAATTCGTGTAAAATTCCCTTAAAATTCCCCAAAAATTCTAGTAAAATTCAGAAAAACTCCTGTAAAAGTCTCAAAAAATTTCTGAAAAATTAAAAAAAAAATCCAGTAAAATTCCTGCGAAATTCCTGTTAAATTATCCAAAAATTCCCATAAAATCCCCAAAAATCCCTGTAAAATCCCTGTAAAATTCCCCAAAAATTCCTGTAAAATTCCACAAAAATTCACGTAAAATTCCCCAAAAATTCCTGTAAAATTCCCGTAAAATTCTCCAAAATTTCCCGTAAAATTTCCCGAAAATTCCTGTAAAATTCCTGTAAAATCCCCCAAAAATCCCCAATAAATCCCCAATAAATCCCCACACAATCGCCATGGATTTCCCGCGGAATTCCGGCGGAATTCCGTCGGAATTCCGTGACCTTGGAGCGGCCGAGGCGCAGGAGGCAGCCGAGGATCCGCGGCTCCGGAGGCGCCGCCGCCGCCACGCGGCCCAGGCACAGCGCCAGCGCTGCCCGCCGCTCCACATCCAGCTGGTTCTGGTCCTGGAAAAACAGGGAAATAATGGGAAAAATATGGGAAAAAATGGGGGAAAAAATGGGGAAAAAATGGGGGGAAAAATGGGGATGAAATGGGGAAAAATGGGGAAAACCCAGGGAAAGGCGGCCCAGGCAGAGCGCCAGCGCTGCCCGCCGCAGCTCCACGTCCAGCTGGTTCTGGTCCTGGAAAAACAGGGAAAAGTGTTGGGAAATAATGGGAAAAATATGGGGAAAAATGGGGAAAACTCCAGGGAAAAAATGGGGAAAAGCCCAGGGAAAAATCCATGGAAAACCCAAGGGAAAAAGCGGCCCAGGCACAGCGCCAGCGCTGCCCGCCGCCGCTCCACGTCCAGCTGGTTCTGGTCCTGGAAAAACAGGGAAAGGTGTTGGGAAAATGGGGAAAATATGGGAAAAAATGGGGGAAAAAATGGGGAAAAAATGGGGAAAAAATGGGGAAAAAATGGGGAAAAAATGGGGAAAATATGGGGAAAAAATGGGGAAAAAATGGGGAAAAAATGGGGAAAAATGGGGAAAACCCAGGGAAAGGCGGCCCAGGCAGAGCGCCAGGGCTGCCCGCCGCCGCTCCACATCCAGCTGGTTCTGGTCCTGGAAAAACAGGGAAAGGTGTTGGGAAATAATGGGAAATAATGGGAAAAAATGGGGGGAAAAATGGGGAAAATATGGGGAAAAAGTGGGGAAAAATCCATGGAAAACCCAAGGGAAAAGGCGGCCCAGGCAGAGCGCCAGGGCTGCCCGCCGCTGCTCCGTGTCCAGCTGGTTCTAGTCCTGGAAAAACAGGGAAAAGTGTTGGGAAATAATGGGAAATAATGGGGAAAAATGGGGGGAAAAATGGGGGGGAAATGGGGAAAAAATGGGGAAAAAAAGGGGAAAAACCCAGGGGAAACCCAAGGGAAAAGGCGGCCCAGGCACAGCGCCAGGGCTGCCCGGGACTGCTCTGTGTCCAGCTTGTTCTGGTCCTGGAAAAACAGGGAAAAGTGTTGGGAAAATGGGGAAAATATGGGAAAAAATGGGGAAAAAATGGGGAAAAAATGGGGATGAAATGGGGAAAAAAATGGGGGAAAAAATGGGGAAAAAATGGGGAAAATCCAAGGGAAAAGGCGGCCCAGGCAGAGCGCCAGCGCTGCCCGCCGCCGCTCCACGTCCAGCTGGTTCTGGTCCTGGAAAAACAGGGAAAAGTGTTGGGAAATAATGGGAAAATATGGGAAAATCTGGGGGAAAAAATGGGGGGAAAATGGGGAAAAAATGGGGAAAAAAAAGGGGAAAAACCCAGGGGAAACCCAAGGGAAAAGGCGGCCCAGGCACAGCGCCAGGGCTGCCCGCCGCTGCTCCACGTCCAGCTGGTTCTGGTCCTGGAAAAACAGGGAAAAGTGTTGGGAAATAATGGGAAAATATGGGGAAAAATGGGGAAAAAATGGGGAAAAAGTGGGGGGGAAATGGGGAAAAAAATGGGGAAAAAATGGGGAAAAAATGGGGAAAAGCCCATGGGAAAGGTGGGCCAGGCAGAGCGCCAGCGCTGCCCGGGACTGCTCTGCATCCAGCTTGTTCTGGTCCTGGAAAAACAGGGAAAAGTGTTGGGAAAATGGGGGGAAACAGGGAAAAAGGGGGGGAAATTGGGAAAAATGGGGAAAAAATGGGGAAATGGGGGAAAAAAATGGGAAAAGGTGGGGAAAAAAATGGGAAAAGGTGGGAAAAACCTGGGAAAAATGGGGGAAAACATCAGAAAATGTAGGAAAACATAAGGGAAAAGGTGGGAAAAACAGGGAAAAACATGGGAAAAATGGGGAAAAACAGGGAAAATGTGGGGAAAAATGGGAAAAGGTGGGAAAAACAGGGAAAAAAATGGGAAAAACATGGGAAACTGAGGAAAAACGGAAAATGTAGGAAAATAAATGGGGAAAATGGGAAAATATGGGAAAAATGAGGGAAAACAGGGAAAATGTGAGAAAAAATGGGAAAAATGGGAAATGTGGGAAAAGGTGGGAAAAATGAGGGAAAAATGAGGGAAAAATGAGGGAAAAATGAGGGAAAACAGGGAAAATGTGGGAAAATGTGGAAAAAAATGGGAAAAACATGGGAAAAATGTGGGAAAACAGGGAAAATGTGGGAAAATGCGGGAAAAATGGGAGAATATGGGAAAACATGGGAAAACATACGGGGAAAGGTGGGAGAACAGGGAAAGCGGGTGAAAACATGGAAAACATGGAAAAAGCATGGAAAAATACGGGAAAGATGTGGGAACGCCGTGGGAAAAATATGGGAATGCCATGGGAAAAATATGGGAAAAAACCCCACGGAAAACAAGGGGAAAGATATGGAAAAAACACGGAAAAACATGGAGAAAACGGAATTCCAGATTCGTGGAGTTGTTGGAATTTCTGGAATTATGGAACTCCGGATTCATGGAATTGGGGAATTCCAGAATGACGGGATTTGTGGAAAGCTGGGATTTTTTTGGGATCACGGAATTCCCAAGAAAAGAACAGAATACTCCAAGGGAACCGTGTTAAAAATCCTCCTGAAATCCTGGAATTCCAAGGAAGGGATGGAACATTCCCACAAAATCCCCCTCGCCATTCCCGTTTTTCCCATTTTTGCCGAGAATCCGCCGGGAATTCCCACCTTGAAGATGCTGAAGAATCCCTGGGATTTCCTGCAGGCGTCGGATTGCTCAAATTCCTCCAATTTTTCCAACGTTTCTTCCGGGTGGCTCCGGGCGCAGATCCCGAAGCAGGAAGCCAAACCCTGCGGGAATTCCGGGAATGAAACCCCACAGAATTCCCGGATTTTTCCCCCAACGTTTACTCCCAACTCCTGGGCTGCGCCAGCCAAGGGAATTCCCGCTTGGAATTCCAGGAATTCCAGGATTTTCGGGCAGGAATTCCTGCCTGGGAAGGGCTGGGATGGAATTCCGTAAGAATTTTGGTGGCAGTCCATGGAATTCCAGGATTTTAGTTGGAATTCCCACAGAGTTCCGGGATTTTAGAAGAGGATCCATGGAATTCCAGGATTTTAGCCCAGAATCCCAGGGAATCCCAGGATTTTAGAGAGATTCCTTGGAATTCCTTTGTTTTAGTTGTGATCCCACAGAATTCCAGGATTTCAGTCAGGATTCCTTGGAATTCCAGAACTTTAGTAAGGATTCTGTTGGAATTCCATGATTTTATCCATGATTCCCTTGGAATTCCATCATTTTATCCACGATTTCCCCGGAATTCCATGATTTTTATCCATGATTCCTTGGAATTCCATGACTTTAGTTGTGATCCCAAAGAATTCCAGGATTTTAGCTGGAATTCCATAATTTTATCCATGATTTCCCCGGAATTCCAGGATTTTATCCACAATCTCCCCGGAATTCCATCATTTTATCCTCCATTTCCCCGGAATTCCGCACTTTCCCCCCCCCACCCCCTCAGGAAATCCCAATCCCAGCCCACTCCCAACCCCGACATTCCCAGGAATTCCCGGGAAGAGCGGCCCCACGCCTTTGCCAGGAGGGAAACCCTCCGGAATTCCCGGAATTCCCGGGGATCCCTCACCTCCCGCTCGGCCTCTTCCTGGTACTGGGCATTTTCCAGGAGCTCCTGGAGCTGCCTCCGGACCAGCTCCTTCCCGGGCCACAGCCCCAGCGCCGTTCCCATGGATCTGTAGAGGAAATCCTGGGAAAAAAAACGGGAATTCCAGCGGGAAACGGCCGGGAGGAGGCGGGAAACATTCCCGGATTTTCCCCGGCCTCACCTTCTCCGCCGCGGATCCGTC